CTTCTCATAAAGACTGAGCAGATGGCGCTGAGTAGTCCACAGCATGTCATGGAAGTAATAGATCTCATCTGCAGCTGTTCCCCTGCAACTGGCATTGAGTGATATACTGCCTCTGAACATGGGAGATCCATATCTTTCTCTTGGTTGATTACCTTTGATAGGGCTGACTGCCATGGATTAATCTCAACTGCTTCTGTGCTTTGCCGGCCTTCACATATCCTGCTAAGCCATGGTTGAACACATAAACCACAGTTGGCTGAGTCCACAGAACATGCAAAGCCGGAAGCTTTGTTTTTAGACCTCAGCATGCTAAGCCAAAAGCAGAGAAACCACCAGAGGGCTTAATGTGACATAAACTGAATCTCTGGCTCAATTTTTGACAAGTGGGACAAAGGAGCATTAGGCTGAATTAACCATGACTGTGATCACTGGAAGGACTAGAGTTTAGTGGTAAATCATAAGGAAGTAGGGAATGACCTTTTGGGCTGAGTCCTGAAGAACTGTTTCTAGTGACTATAGACAATATTTGGGGTGAATGGGCAAAAGTCTGGTCTAAGCCAGGATCCTATGTTCCTATCTCTCAAGATATAAAAAGGGGGCTCAGTTGGCTGGGGATAATTTATTTTTCTTCCTGGTACTAAGTGGTGTCAATGACCAGCCACTAAGAAAACTAGATGGACCTGTTCATGAAGTGGCCAGGAATCCAAGTCAACTTGTAGGAGACCGTTTTTAGGGTTAATAGGTGTTTCAGATGCATGACGATTTTGATAGGGAAACCAGGATAAGGACAAATGATTAAAAGGGTTGGTGCTCACCTTCTCCCCAACATCTCTTCTGTGGCTGTTTTAAGCTTAACAAATAAACGAAAAAGCACCCACCACTACTCGGCAGATGAAGGATCTTTGGTTGGAAAGCACCCTTTGAAATTTAATCATGTTTTGCAGGCTGATTCCTCTCCCAAAGTCCTCCCAGAAGCCTCTTTAGATGATGTTTCCAGCTCGCTTTTCATCAGGGGACTAACAAACCTTGGCTTGAGTAGAGAGTAACACTTCATCCTTTCATGCTAGCAGCCAGTCAAAACTCCGTCAGCCCCATCACGCAGTAATAGAAGATTATGGCATGCTGGGGGAAACCACAATGTTTACAGAAGTGCTAGAAGTACATATTTTTAAGTATCTGACCCAGGTTTGGGGGGCAGAAGGACTTCCTATCTTACATTTATGTTGAGTTTCCCACCCTCTGTTTTCCCCAGGAATGTGAAGACTAGCATTCAGCAGCGGGTGCTTCAGCACCAAGATGTTCCCTTCTTCTAAAATCTTGTACTATGCCAATATTCTACCTCTGGCCACCACGTCTGCATTTCATCTATTGAGAGGACTGTCTTTTGGCTTTCTAAAATGGATTGAAAAAGAAACCACCTTAATGTCTCTTTAAGGAGTATCTTTAGACAGTAAGATTTATCCTAATAAAAGCAGAATTCTGGGCCTTCCTTATTTATAACTCTCGTGAGTTTTCCATGCCGAAATTGCTAAGCTTGATCAATTGTATATTTACCTGTTGTTTAACTGAATATAGATTGTTTTATTTCTGTAATATTGCACTATTGAATTTTAGGATAATGGCATCGTTTACATTTGAGAACTGGAGAATTGATCTGTTATATAGCTTTAGTTGGACTGCTTTCTTTGGAACTCCTTTGCAAATTTTTTGAAATTGCATTTTGGTCTGCGAAGATGCCTTTCGTTTTTAAAGAAATACCTAAGGTAAAATATTGTTCTTTTTGAGAAAGGCAACTTGATTCATACATCATGCAAGAGCACCATATGGTTTGTTCACACTGAGTGTAGTGTCTTGTAGGAACACAACCAACTGCAATTTATTCAGTAAACTCAGTTAAGCAAAGTGGCATTTTCCACGATGCATGGAACAGGTTTTTTTTCAGAATGTGCCAGGAATTGAGGCAGGTTGGCATTTTGGGAGATCTTTAGAAGGTATGCTCACCTTATAGCGAGGGACGGTGAAGTGGGAGTGACCTATATGTCCATGTCAAACTTCAGCAGCCACACTAAGTTGGAGACAACAAAAATTTCAACGAGATGGGCAGTGACAAATTTGCTCTCTCTATATAAAAATGTAGATAAGACACCCCCCCCCCCAAAATCTCAACAAAGTTCACCATGAGCAGCAGAAAACAAGAGTTATGTTTACACCATCCCTTATTTGGATAAATGGATTTCCATAATGGCCACCACCAGTTTTAAAATTGCAAGAAGAATCTTCCCCCGTAACTGTACCTGAGCCTATGGAAAGGAAAGAAAACTTGCATTCAGAGTCGACTTCCGTTGCCCTCTGTGCATCGTGTCTTCTTGGGAACAAGGTTTCCAAGGGTTAATCTTGTTTGCAGGGCAATGCCTGGAAGAGCTAATGTGAAGCAGGGGGGTCTGTAATCCTGTTTGTTTTGCAATGATGGACTCACTGACAGAGGCTTTGGTTGGTACGAGCAAAGATCGAACAAAGACAGTTTGGAAGGAATTTGATAGCAGGGCAATGAATTATTGGGACTCGGGCTTTGCTTGCCAGCATGGATTCTCCTTCCAAGAGCAGGGTTTTCTTTGTCAGTATGCCGCTCTTGTTTGGATGATGGAACAAGCCATCTCTGGAAGGGCAAAAAGAAATACTGGTATGTGCTGGGTGATATTAAGTCAGATATATACATTCGTGTTGTGTTCCTTCATTGATTTCCTTACGTGCGCACAGATCAGAAAGCTGGAGGTGGCAGACGTGCTTGTGGCCCATCCTCTTGCTTGCAGTTGACAACTCACAAATGTCAAAGATGCCTGAACAGGTCTTTGGATAGCGTGGGAAACCCCCAAATACATCTGCCTTCTGTCTTCTTGTCAGTTCATGGCAGGGTTCTTTAGTCTTCAAAGATGTAGCAATCATCTTGAACGTTTGGGAAAAGGATCACCAGGACTTGAAAGCTCTCTGAAATTGGTGGGTCCCTGAAAGGTGGCAATGGTGTTCAAAAGCCCTCAGCCCTGCTAGGTAGACCAGACCAGGAAATCAACTCCACAGGAAAGCCAAAACTCCTTTTATTGAGAGGGGCTCTAATAACAGAATCTTGCAAGTCTGATGGTGCTGTGTTTCCTCCTCCTTCTAGTTCACTGAGGTAGAGAGGAGTCTGTCCGAACTGCTTCTGAATGTTATCCGGACATCCTGGACTTAAAAAATGGTTCATCCCCTTTTGCCTAGGCATCACCTTCTGCATGTTTCCCTCAAGGTCATCTTCTTTACTTTACAAAGTCATCTTCTTTACTTCTTGACACTGAGTTTGTTTTGGGGAGTCATCCTAATTCCTCTCCAGACCTTTCCTACTTCTGTGGCTGTGGAACGGAAGGAAACGTGCTTTCTTTCTCCTCCTTTCTCCTCTGATCCCTTTCTGCCTGATGGCGAACCGTTCACTGGAAGGAACCCCTTTCTTCTTCCTACCATCACCGTCCCTGGAGCGGAGAGGAAGTAAATGGATGAGGAGACAGGTTGCTTGGAGGCTCAGCTGGGAAACCAGCTGGGGATTTAACAGATGCTGTGTGCATCTCTAGGGCCGTTGCAGGATGCTCAGTTAAACCTGCTGAATTTTAGAAGGGAGGAAATAGCTCAGCTTTTGGAGCCCAGTTCCAAGCCGGGCTTAAGGCACGCTCATCCCGTTGTGAATACAAAGGGAGGTCTCGTTTAGCTCTATCTCAGCATTCCTTAAAATTCAGGGAAGGCTTTTTGCTTCTTACAAGGAAAAATATTAATATGAATGTAACATTATTACCTTCCTTTATGCTGAAGAATGGAAACAGCTCTCCTGCATAAAAGCAGACATAATGGCTGTTGAGACACTGTAAATTGCAGCCCTGGAAACTAATGAATTATACATATTGCAATAAGGGTGTCAATAAAAGGTCTCCCTCCCTCCCTCTCTTGCTTCCTCCTTGCTTTCTTCATTTTTGGCTTTCATGTTCATTAAACTTCCCGTTCGGTTTATTACAGGATTAAAAAAAAAAAACAATCAAACTTATTATAGTGACTTGACCAGCTCGTTTGGATGGTGGTGAACTCGGAAGCGATAATCCTTTACTTTTTAGTTTAGCCTCTGCTAATATAATCCAGGCTTAATCAGGGGATGAAATCATCTGAAAATGAAGGAGAATGTCTCTGTGCAGTTGGGTTCGTTGCAACTCTCCGAAGCCAAGAAACTGAAATGCACAAATTTGGCAGTTTGCTTTAGTGTTGTCTTGGCTGGAAAATGTGCCAACGATGGCGCTGGGGTTCCTGCATTATTAAGCCATGGTTCATTTAATCCTGGCTTTGCATAAACCATGAAGCCTGTTGCAAAGGCTGGCTTCACACCAGCTGTGAAACTGGGAATTTGCAAACGTTGGGGTTCCGTGACCACCTAAAATAATAAACATGTTGACGTGACAACTTCCCACCCTGAATAACTCTCAGGCCTCTCACTCTTCCTGAGCAAGCTGGCTGTGGGAGCGTAGTCTGGCAGGGATCTAGCAGTGGGTGTATAAGCCAGGCTGGTGGGATCACTGTCTTGGAGAGGGACCTCCTTCAGCAGCCTTTCTGTTCCCAGCAATGACTCCTGCATCAAATCCACCCACTCCTCAGTGCTGCCCACGGCACCCCAGCCACTGCTGTCGCTCTCTTTCCCACTAATGGGCACCTCCTCTCCTGCTTTCAAGGAAACATGGCATTAAAATCCTCTGCCAACTCACATTGCTGGAAATCGGCTCACTTGAGGGCAACCTAAGTCTCACGTAATCTGCCCTCACTTGGGTGCTGCTTGGCCTAACTTGAACTCCGGTTAGTTTTCTCCTGGACCAGCTGGCCGAGCATGTAGAATTAGCAGGTGTAGTTAGCTTGCCCTGAAATAAAAAGAGATGTGCCTTTTTGCCTCTCAGCCTGAGCACACAACCCATCCATTGCTGTGGTTGCTTTCTCGACAGGAGCTACGAGGATCCAATCGAGAGCGAAATTGTCAACGAGAGGATCCCGTACTTGCATGGCAGCTATGCGGCACCTTTAGCGCAACCGGAAAGGGGCAGCATGGCCAGCATCGACCGCCTGGGCAAGCGCTCCCCTTCCATCGACAGCATCCGCAAAGACCCCCGGTGGCGCGACCCGGATCTTCCGGAAGTCATCGCCATGCTCAGCCACCCCATCGATCCCGTTAAGTCGAACGCAGCAGCCTACCTCCAGCATCTCTGCTACGAGAACGATAAGATCAAGAAAGACGTGAGACATCTCAAGGGCATTCCCATCCTGGTGGGTCTCCTTGACCACCCAAAGCCTGAGGTGCACCGCAAAGCGTGTGGGGCCCTCCGGAACATATCCTACGGGAAGGATAATGAGAACAAAGTGGCGATCAAGAACTGTGACGGGATCCCGGCTTTGATCAGGTTGTTGCGCAAGACGAGTGATATGGAAGTACGGGAACTCATTACAGGTCAGTGGTTTCTCCTTCTTTTCCTAGAAGGGCTTTCAGATATCTTTGGCCACGTCTTCTCAATGACATGGGGATTTCCTGGTGGTTCCCGTCCAACCTCTAACTAGGTCTGATCCTGGATAGCATTTTGGGGAAGCAGCTGAGGACGGCTCTCGGTTGCCATCAGTCGTTATGACCTTGGAAGTATTACTACTCCCTTCAGTTCAACTCACTTCCCAAATTGATATCAAGAAGTGTACTGCTTCTAATCCTGAAGAAGTACCAGCATCTACTTTTTTCCCACTCCTTAGCATGTAGTTTTCATGGAGGACCCTCCATGCCTCCCTGAGAGTAGGAGTGAATGCTGTTCTTAGCCAACCAAGTGAATCCATAGGGGGTGAGGATCAACACTCACATTATGTTGCAGGTCTCACTTGTGGACGTATAAAGTCAAATGGTGTTTTTTTGGGAGGGGGGTTCTGTTCAAGTGTCTTTTTCTAGATGAAAACCTGGGGTGGTGAGATTGGCAAACTCACAGCAATTATTGGTTATATTGTCAGTTGATTCAGAACCAGCCAGAATCCATCACATCTTTGTTCATGCTTCAACTTGGACGCTGTCTCCCAAGACCCCAAGAAAACATTGTATCTCCACTGATTGTTCTCTGATTCTCAACACGGAGAAGAATGAGAGCAAGAACCCCTAAAGAAAAAAAAATGAGATTTGGGAAAGCAGCATATGGTCTGACTTTACCCTGGATGATAAAGCTCGGTGTGGAATAAAAGTTCCCAATGGAGACCCAGTTGCAATGAACTCATTACACTCCCTTGGAGAACAGCTGGAGAAGCTAAGCATCTTAACCGGCTTTTGTTTCCCCTTGGGGTATTTATTGCAAAGTAATTCTTTAGATAGTTTGAAAACGTTTCAGAGCAACAGCCTGATGCTCAGTGACAAAAAAAAAAACCCCACTCTAAATCTGTAGAACAGAAATTCCATTTCTGGGTCTGCATTGAATCTGTTCTCACATTCTCCTCTGGAATTGGGTCTCCGCGGCAGCAGATTTTAACAGTTGTGCAAATGGTAACGTGCGCCTTTTGTTTTCAGGAAAGCTGTCTCAGGAGCAGGCCTCCTGGCCTGCAACATGTGGCTTTTGGCTGCACTGCCATTGTTAAAAGAAATCTATCGCTCCGCTCGCTGTTGGGTTGTCCTGGAGGTGTTTTCAGAATTTGTAGCAGGGCATAAGGTTTCCTGAGACAGAGTTCATTTGCAGCTGGAAGTAGAAAGAATTATAATTCTTGAATGTTGTTTCCCCCCCCCCACATACTCCCTATTCAGAGGACATCAGAATGAGAGCAGAAAGCATGGTCTTGAAGTCAATTCGGAGTGAGGGTAGCATGGCTTAACACCCTCTCTCTGGCAGAACTGTCCAAATAAAAACAAAGTGTTGCCAATTTGGTTTCTTGACAATCTCCCCTACCTAGGTGTACGTTGACTGCGACCCATTCAAAAAAACCAGTGACTTCACCCCTTTGTTACCCGAAGCCACATTTTTAGCCATGGTTTGCTAAACAAACCATAGTGGTCTGGCTTGAAAATTACCCTAAGCCAACCACAAGCTATTTATTCATTTGGGAAGTGTCAACTCATCTCTCAGCTTTGCCAAAAATGTAGCCCAAATTTTGCCAGCCTGCAAGCAGCATTGATCAAATTGATCTTCCACGGATTTCAAACCAGATCAGTGATTATAAGTGTTCTGGGTCCCCACCCCACCTTGCAAAGCCAAACCTCTGAATAAGTCTTTCATCACGGGGCCCGCGAATTGAATCATTTGCAAAGTGAATGCATAATGCGGTCTCTCCTCGTTTTTGAATTGTGCTAGGCAATGATCATCTTAAAAAAAGAATAT